TGAATTTTAGAGGACACAATTCAGCCCATAACAAGCAGCAAGATGCTAGATTCCTTAGCTCAATTCCGTCTTTTCAGAAAACAGGTTAACTGAATTGTTCAAGGCCTCACAGCTAGTAGATGGCAGGGACCCCTCCACTACCCTTTATGTCTATAAAAAGCCCAGAGCGAACTCAGAATGTATCTGAACTGAAAGGGAAGGCTTAAACCTCTAGAGTATGAAATTGACTAAAAGGCAAACCATCTATGCCTATTTTTTCAGTGGACAAAAGTGTTAATTAAAAAATTTTAAAGTGTCATGTATTGAAACAACTTGAAATGGAAATAAAAAGATGTGATGAACATAAAACCTGGCATATTACACTAATTTCTAATTATATGTATGTTTTTATATGACTATCATCACTATGCATCTGGTTTTTTTTTTATCTGCCCCCCTTCATGTTTGTTGTAAACTTTTTCACTTATGTCATCACATATTCCACATGATTAAAATTGGTCAATGGTTATAGACCATTTTCTCCTATTGTTTTTGCACAGTTGACTAAACCATTTCCCCTCTGTCCCTCTACCTCTCTTTGCTTTTATGTAGCTAGTCGGCTATAAAGTAAAGCAAGGAATAGTTCTTAGATGTCTACACCGCAAAGTGCTTAATGTATAAGGTGATCACACTTTTCACAAATGTTTTTGAAAATAATCTCAAACTATGTAAGGATGGTACAAACAACACCCGCATACCTTTTACCCAGATTCACCTATTGTTATTATTATGCCCCATTTTACTTCTCTTTCTCTTTCCATACATTTTAATGTTTATGTATATATTTATACATGTAATTTTAAAAAATCATTTGAGGGTAAGTTACATACATCATGCATTTTACCCCTAAATAGTTCAGAGGATATTTTCTTTTCTTTTTCTTTTTTAATATTTATTTATTTATTTGGCTGCATCAGGTCTTAGCTGCGGCACGCAGGATTGCGGCACGCGGGCTTCTCTCTAGTTGTGGCACATGGGCTCCAGAGTGCACAGGCTCAGTAGTTGTGGCGCGCGGGGCTTAGCTGCCCTGCGGCACGTGGGATCTTAGTTTCCCGACCAGGGATTGAACCTGAGTCCCCTGCATTGGAAGGTAGATTCTTAACCACTGAACCACCAGAGAAGTCCCCAGAGGCTATTTTCTAAGAATAAAGACATTATTTTACTTAACAGTGGCATAGTCATAAACTTCAGTAAATTTAACATTGATACAGGTGTAATCTATTGTCCATCTTCCGATTTTGCCAAAAGATCTAGTGATGATCTTACAGCATCTTTTCTCCTCCAGCACAGAATCCAGTCTAGGATCAGTACTGCATTTGGATGTCACATCTTTAATCTGGAATCTTTCCACATCTCTCTTTGTCTTTTATGATATTAACATTTTAAAGAACATTGTTCCCATCTATTTTTATTAATAATGTTCCTTATTTTGGGTTTGTCTGGATGTTTCCTTATATGGCTAGATTCAGGCTATGCATCCAGGGCCAGGATGAGATGTTTGTTTTGTCCTTCTCAGACAAACCACGCTACTCTTGAGAGTGGGTGCCGCCTACACTTACACTGAGATAAAGGGTGTAAACGTGGATGGTCTCAGGTAAACTGGGAGGTATGGTGACCCTCGTTCTGTAAGTGATTATCCCCCTACTACCAGTGCCCATACTGGGACCAGAGGGACTTGCTGGCCCACCTCCCACTGCCTGCAGCTGCCTCTCTTTCCCACCGGCTTCAACTGGCCATCATTCTACCCTTGGCTGTGCCTGGCAACTTGGTCTTGTTCAGTTTCACTGGAGAATAACTTCCAGTCTCCTGTCATGATGGGGGTTGGGTGGTTGCCTGGCTGTGCAGGGTTGGGTAGGAGATCTGAAATTCTAACTGCTCCTATGCAGATTCTCAGGCAACCCTCTTGTGTTTCAGCTCTACTATAACAGAGAACAAACCTGACTCCATATTGAATCTATTCTTTTAGCTCTAACCTTTGTGCTCTATTGCCGGGGGCTTAGTCCTGCAGGCTCCGCATCTTTTGTAAAAGAATGTTGCCTATAGCCTGAAATACACAGGAGAATCTATTCTCAAGGCTCTGACCTTTAAAGGTATAACACTTTTCCATTCATATAGAGATAAAAAGTTGCAGGCGGAGAATAATACTTCTTGAAGGTTTATAGGAGCATTGTGACCAGACCTACCTGGACAGCTGCAAGAACAAAGGATTCCTGCACCAAGAGGATTGCAACAACCAGCCACCCTCCCTCCCCTTTTAGTATAAAAGAAGGCTGGATTCTAACTCAGGAAGATGGTTCTTTGAGACACGAGTCCACCATCTTCTCGGACTGCTGGCTTTCTGAATAAAGTCGCTATTCATTCCCCCAACAACTCTACCCTCCATTTATTGGCCTGTCGTGTGGCGAGTAGTACGAGCTTGGACTTGGTAACGCTACCCTTCACCTCCATCTTCTGCCATATCTGGTACATCCAATTCCTAAGATTTCTGAGATTCTCTTGCATGAACCAGCTGTTTTCCTCTCCCATCCCCCCGAGACACTTAGGTTTCTTAGCTTTCTCCACTGTGCTTAGTCAGTCTCCTGAAAATTTGTTGACATATCTTGTCCACTGTATTCTTTTCTTCCTTATTTTTGTGGAGTTTTAATCTAAAAACATTCTTTGCTGCCATTTTTGGTGGGGCTTGGGGGAGGGAGTAGAGATCATGCCCATGTTCAATCCACTACCACCAATGGGAGGCCTTCGAACTTACCCTTGTGGGACCGTTCTTGCCATGCCCGCCTCGATTTGGCCTCACCACGTTCGGGGAGCACAGGGATCACACCTTGTTCATGCTGTTCAGCCTGGAATTCCAACTTCCCTACCTGCCCACACACCACTCACTGCTGCTGCCTTGATACAACCACAGCGTTTTATTACCATCTCTATTTTAGAACTTATCCCAGATTTCCTCGTGTCTTCATTCGTTGAGTAGGAATTTGTCTCCTGCCCCTTAAAGGTAGGGACTTGACCTTGTTCAATATTTAACTCTTCCAGATGATGCTTTGTGAGTAGATGTTTTCTAAGTGTTTGTTCCACTGGATTAAAAGGAAATAATATTTTTTCTTTTGTTATGTTCCTGGAAGTTTATATTTTTCTCAAACGGGATTTCTATGAGTGGTAGACTGGGTTGCTGGTCCCTCCCAATGCTTCACTCCACTGTGACAGAGTTCCACACCCACACCCTCGCCATGGCCTTCCGTGAACCATGCCTCTTGACTGAGGCTGTGGCTGTGGGCTTTGCTTTGACTAATGGGATGTTAGCGGACGCAATGCCAACAAAGGCTTAGAACGATCTTGTGTGCCTGGGCTTGCTCTCATCCTTCTGTCACTGCAAGCTCTAGGAGGATGGCAGACATTTGGAGCAGAGATGCACCGGCTGATCAGAAGACCTGCAGCTTGCAGGAGAGCTATCCAGCTGAGCTGCAGACCTGGGACAGAGTGATAAAGACTTCTTGTCTGCTACTTAGTTTGGGGGTCATTTTGTTCTGTAGCAATAGCTGACTGATACATGATGTCAAAGGGAATGAATGATTTTTTTTTATAGATTATTCTTGTCCTACGTTGGTTTTGCTCTCTAGGAAGCCTGAAACCAATTTACCATGCAATCAGCATGGCATATGTGTGCCATACCATAGAAAATACTCATTGGTGCTCCTTGATTTGATCATAAAATCTATTTTTAAATGGCGTAAGACAGCAAAATAGAATAATAACCACACTGCCAGCACAACTTCGGCCCTTACATAGATTCATTCCAGACTGAATCTATTATCATAGTCCTTTTGGAGAAAAAAATAAATTCTGAGAAACCAACAAAGATCTGTGTAATTTTCTTGATCTTTGATAACTATGACTTTAATTTGTAGTATACTATGTGCAATCCATAGAGTTAATTATATGGCATTGCTAATCCTTACTTTTATGAAAACAGTCTTTTGATAATGATTTTTAAAACTGGAGATAGGACAAAATATTTATATTTACGAACATTCTCATCAGATGCTATTCATTTCTTTCAACACCCACAATTTACTTTTAAGTTTGTCAAAGCCTAGCTTTGTTATTTCCATAATACAAATGAAAATTAAACATAGTGGCAAAAAAAAAATTCCTTCATATTATGTAATTGAGAATTGGCCAATTTATCAAATCTTTAAGAATTTTTTCTTTGGTTCAAATAATCTATTATGCCAATGTCCTGATGGAGCTCTGCTTGTATCTCCTACTCTGGAAAGGTTTTCAGAATCCATGAGAGTCAGGATAATATTATAATAAGGAAAACTTTTCTGAGTTATTGTACAAAGAAGAGACTGGTTACAAACATGCACGAGTATCAGTAAGAACTTACTTGCAATACACCTCACAATTTACCCAGAGATGCCATTTGATTTTGCATCCATGGTTAAGAACCCCTAATATAAGGAGGGGTCCTGAATGTCATGCTGCAATTACGAAAAAGAATCGCTTAAGTAATCAGAACAGAAAATGGTATTGTTAAAAAGTTCTGGCATGAGAGCTTGACTGAAAGAGAGAGAAGAGAAAAAGCCAGGGGTCCTTGGGCTCTCCGACTAGTCCAAGTTTAACAAGCTCCCTTGGGCTTCCTTCACAATTCCCAGTGGAAGCAGTCAAAGGAAAGGCATGCCTCTCCCGTCCTCCTGACCCTCCATTTACTCACAAAACAACAGGCTTTAACAATCACGGAACAAAAACCACATTGCCCAATGTAACCTTCCAACCCCCGGAGCTGTATGGGCCGCTAATCCAGCGCACAAAAGCAGGCCGACCGCTCTTTTGTTCTGCCCGAGGCTGGGCGCAGCGCGGAGCAACAGCTGATCGGCTCTGGAACGTCCCAGCGACGTGCCAGGGGTCTCCGATGTTTATTTAGCGCGCTGCTGTCTCGACGAGGGGCCTCCGGGAGCCGGCTGCACGCTCGCCCGCAGAGGAGTCATGTACCGGCGCAGCTACGTCTTCCAGGCCCGCAAGGAGCAGTACGAGCGCGCCGAGGAGGCGCCGCACGCAGCCGAGCCGGACAGCCTGGTGGAGGGCCGGGCTGCCGCGCCGAGCCTGGCGCAGCTGCAAGGGCTCGGCGAGCGCGTGGCCGCCCACGTCCAGCGGGCCCGAGCGCTCGAGCAGCGCCACGCCGTCCTGCGGAGGCAGCTGGACGCCTTCCAGCGCCTGGACGAGCTGGCCGGTCCCGAGGATGCCCTCGCCCGCCACGTCGAGGGCAACCGCCAGCGCGCCCGGGATTTGGCTGCCGAGCGCACCCGATTGGAGCGCCAGGGCGCAGAGGCGCAGCGCGCCCTCTGCGAGTTCCGAAGCAAGTAAGCGCAGCCGTGGGAGTAACGAGGCAGCGCGGGCCGGGAGAGCGCTGCCGCTGGAGGTGGGAGGGCCGTCTCCGGGCCCAGGCGACCGGTAACTTCATACCGGCAGAGGCACGCACGTGCTGCATCTTCCTAAGATAGGGCTGGCTTCCATTTTGATGGCACGTCACGGTTTGCATGAAATGGTGTAATTTGCTGTTAATGTCTTTTAGAGTCTAGATCTAAGTTACATGCAATGAAATGCACAGATTTTAAGTGTGTAGCTCAGTGAGTTTGACGAATGTATTAATAGATACCCATGTAACTACTAAAACAAGCAAGATATTCCTCTACCCCAGAAAGTTACCTTCTGCCCTTTCCCAGCCTTTGGTTCCCTCCCCCCAGTGCCCCCAAGCAGAGGCACCCAGCGTTCTGATTTCTGTCACCATAGATTACTATTGCCTGTTCTGGAATCTTCTAGACATATTCTTATGTGTCTGGCTCCTTCTGCTCAGCACAGTGTTTTTGAGATGTGTCGATGTTATTTAATCCTCACAGCCTCATCCTGTTATAGACGGTACTGCACCCAGTTTACAGATGAGGAGACTGAGGTTCAGACAATGTAGAGATTGGGGGCAAGGTCACTCAGCTGGTGGATCGCTGCACTGGGACTGGAGTTCAAGTCTTGAGCATGCTAAGTCTAACGGCCTTCACTGCATCACGGCGGACACCTGGACATTGCTTCAGCGTGTGCCTGCTGGTGTCTGGCCCCTCAAAGTGTGATCCATGGACCAGCAGCATTGCCATCACCCAGGATCTTGTTAAAAATGGAGACTCTTGGGCCCACCCCAGAGCTCCTGAATCAGACTCTGAAAAAGACCCCCAGGTGATTCATCGTTTAAGTTAACGACCTTGAAGTTTCAGAGGTCCTGCTCCTGGGCAGTGTCCCCCCTTTTGACAGACTGAATAATGTGTTAAAATCACCCAACAAGCTATTCAAAGAAAACAGATGATCAGCAATTTGTCAGCATCTTTCCAGGTGATAAATGGGCGTGCGCTTTGATTCAGCTGGGCACTTCAGGGAATTTACCCTCTGATACTCCAGGAGGTGTCAAAGGGCATGTCCACCAGGATATTCACTGCAGTGTGATCTGCAATAGCAAAGGGCTGGGACCAACCTGAAGGCCTGTTAATAGGAGTCAGGTTATAAAATTGTGCTTCATTCATTCAATGGAATACTGTGCAATTGTGAAAAAAAATAGTGTGTTATTATCATCTATTTAAAAAAGACGGGGGTCAGAGTAGAGATTTTTTTGCTTGCATAAGAAAAAAGAAGACACAAGCACACACACAAAACCCTAATAACACTGGTTACCTATGGGAATAAGGAAGTAGGAGCAGAGGTGAGAGGGAGACTTTTACCTTTTTCTGTCATTTAAAAAAGTCTCTAACCATGTAAGAGATTTATCTGTTTAAAAATTATATAAATTAATTAAAAAATACAGATGTGCAGGCCCCATCCTGGACCTCAAGTGGGGCCCAGGTTTTTTTATATTTAATGAGCTCCACTGGTGATTGCAGTGAACAGCCAGGTTTGAGGACCTCTGGTCTAGGGTAGCCAGAGGATTTACTTCAAAAGTGCATTGTGGGGCTGCCCTGGTGGCGCAGTGGTTGAGAGTCCGCCTGCTGATGCAGGGGACACGGGTTCGTGCCCTGGTCCGGGAAGATCCCACATGCCGCGGAGCGGCTGGGCACGTGAGCCATGGCCGCTGAGGCTGCGCATCCAGAGCCCGTGCTCTGCAACGGGAGAGGCCACAATAGTGAGAGGCCCGCGTACCACAAAAAAAAAAAAAAAAAAAAAATGTGCGTTGTGTTTGAGTTCCACATTCTCAGTCCCAGTCGTGGGCATGATATTCAGCATTGGGTACTGAGCATATTTATCAGATCATAAGCATTGATTCCATTCCCATCAGTCCTTCTGTTTCTGGTTTTCGTTGTTTTTTTTTTTTTGGCCAAATTGCACATGTGGGATCTTATTTCCCCGACCAGGGATCGAACCCGTGCCCCCTGCAGTGGAAGCATGGAGTCCTAACCACTGGACCACCAGGGAAATCCCTGTTTCTGGTTTTGATCCACAGAAGTAGGTTTGCAGCTGGAAGAAGGCACCTGAAAATCCCTGTGGCCCTTCAAGGGAAAACTGAGGCTTGCAGAGGGCCTGTGGGTGGCAGGACTTGAACTTGGGTTTTTCACCCTAGGCCCATACCCTTTCCAGAACACTGTGTCTTAGAGAGAAGCTGTTCTTGGACTCCTGTGGAGTGAGGCCCAAACATAGGACTTCATTCATACTAAGCTCATGTTCCCTAAAGAGAATGGAAGTGAATGCTGGTTGACACCCAGGGCAGTTCCATGGGTCATCAGAGTACCTCAGATCCCCAGATGGCCTTTACCTGGTCCTTGGGCCACAGTCAGCTGTGATTTGGCTGGGCCAGCATGACTCCCAGGAGCCCTCGTTGGAGGAGTGGCCATGATGAGTCCTCCTGATTTCACTTGGCTCTGAGTTGTATGTATGTCCATCGTGGAGCCGACCCTTCTGTGATTTATTTGATAATTCTCGTTAATTTATTCCCTCCCATTGCCCCCTTGGAGAAGTTTTGATGTTTTAACTTGAGTAGTGGAACTTGAAAATCATTATAAAAATCATACCCATCTACATGCATGGGTACACACACTGAGTTTGGTTTAATTCCAGAGGTGAGGTGATGATTAGCCAGAACCAGGTGAAATTAATGCAGAAATAGGAAGGTGTATGCAGCCTTGTTAGGCATGTTCTTTACCTGGATAGTTGAATGATTTCAAAATCAGGTCTTCAGCACATCAAACAAAGGCTAAATAAAATAAAAACTAAATAAAACAAATAAAAACAAAACTACCAAAATACAATAATGAATAGAGTCAATTATCCAAATTGCTGAAAACCAAAAATAATCCTGTAAAACAATCAGGTAATTGAAGCCAAAGTGGTTTTTTCCACTTTATGAATTCACTTTTGTATTCACTTCTATGAATATATGAATATATCATGAATTCTTACAATGAATTCTTTGTAATGAAACCACTTGTCTGTAATAAAATATCTAGGCTTGTCTAAGCATGAAAATCACATTAATATGTTGTTTATTAAATATGTTTTTAAGCTACCAAACATGACGGGCTCTAAGTCCTATTAGAATGGATATTGGGAACAGCTTGCAGGGAACGAGGTCGGGGGTCATTTGGGAAGGGACTTTCTCTTTTTCTTCAGGGGGTGAAATTCCCCCTAGAAGGAAACTCGTTCTGACCAGAATGATTTCTGGGGTCTCTCTGCTTCCTTGATCTTTACCAATTTTTTAGAAGTCCAGGGAAGAAGTCGACTAGGAGAAAAAAAATACACCTGCTCCTAGTATCTGCTGCTTTATTAATCTTGTGTATGTTTAACTTTGAGGGTGTCCCTGCTCTACCCAGGCAGCATGGTGTGGCTGTCAGGACACAGTTTTGTTGTCAGACTCACATCTGAGTCCTCCACCCCTCTCTTAGTTTGGAGTCCTTGAAGCCGAGCCTGAGAAAGTCGCTTATTTGGGAGGTGGCATCAGGGAGCACCAGTTGCGGAGTGAGGAGGTTATAGGCAGGAAGGGAAAGGAGCCAACACTGAGTGCCTCACCCGGCAAGTTACCTGCATGGCCACTGGAGGCCACCTGCAGGGTGGAGAGCACACCTCAGTGATCCCAGCTGAGGGCCAGGGAGCCAGGGTGTGTACGTAGGCACTCGCCCTGTCAGAGCTTGCAGGCTGCTCCCAGGGGCACTGACTCTCTGACCCGTCCAGCCTGCTCTGCCTGCCAGCCCACAGGAGGCCCTTGGTGTGCAGGGCGAGGCCTCACAGATGCGGGTGAAGTGCCAGCAGCACCTGCGGAGGCCTTGGGCCAGTTTCTCCACCTCGGTTTCCTCATCTTTCCTGAGGGGGTAACAGGAACTGCTGTATTCCAGGGTTTTGTGAGGATTAAATGGCGTAATCCAGAAAAGCTGACACATGATGATAAATACAATAGTATAGGGTATCCGGACCAGGTCAGGTTAGTGGTGTTTGATGTAATAGATCGTTAGTACAGCCTCCCAGTCTCTGTGCTGCCGCCGCACTTGGGGTACAGGTGTGCTGGGATCTGATTCCTGTGTCTTTGGGTGGCTGGGAGGGGGCACTGGGGAGTTGGGGCTAGGACTCCGGGCTGGGAGACTCCTGTCCATCTATGGTGCCGCTGGCGGCACTTCCTGCGTGTGCTGTGATGTGCAGAAGGTTGGGAAGGAGTGGGCTCCAAAATTCAGCATCAACTCCTGCTTCCCTTAATGAGAGGGGGTAGGACTCAGGTTAATTGAATGCTGATTGTGTGACCACACGTTCCGGATCACGGAAGCTTCCCAACTCTCCCTTCTGTGTCCCATCTGCAGGTATGAAAACGAGTGTGAGTGTCAGCTGCTGCTGAAAGACATGCTCAAACGGCTAAACAAGGTGAGCTGAGCCCGTCCTTGGGTTTGAGTAGATTCACGACAAGATTGAGCTAAATGGCTGAACGATTGTTTCACGCGCTGCCTCTTTGTGTTCTTTCAGGATTCCCCTATTTCTTTTGCTGTCATTCTCCTTCTTTCTTAAAAAATTTATTTTAATGAGGTATAGTTGACTTACAATGTTGTGTTAATTTCTGCTGTACAGCAAAGTGATTCAGTTATGCACATATAGACATTCTTTTTCATATTCTTTTCCATTATGGTTTATCACAGGATATTGAATATAGTTCCCTGTGCTCTACAGCAGGACCTTGTTGTTTATCCATCCTATATACACTAGTTTGCATCTGCTGACCCCAAACTCCCAATCCATCCCTCCCCCCCCCACCCTTCCCCTTGGCAACAAGTTTGTTCTCTGTGTCTGTGTGTCACTCTCCTTCTTGACTTTGTAATTTCAACTAAATCTCTGTGAGTGAATGCACACACCCACACACACTTCTCTACCACAAGCGAAATGAGCTTGTGAGAGATCCCTAGACGCTTAAGCTCATTGGTTTGCTTGGCTATCAAAATGGGCCAGCGTTACAGGGACTGGCTGTTGTTTGCACCAAATTTAGGAGGAAACTTGCTCCGGGCAGTGGTTATCTGGATGCAATGCTACCTTATCCTGTTGGCTAAGCGTCTTGAGATTACTCCTCCCCAGGGAAAGTCTCAAGAGAATAGAGGAAGAAATTTCCTTTTACCCTCAAGCTCCTCACCCTTGAAGCATGAACAGTCGCCATGTGCAGAGGCACCAGGATTCTTAGCTTCTTGCTGGAGACCCTCCCGCAGAGGTTGGGTGGAGTTGTTCTTTGCAGGGGCAGTTTCCTTCTTTGGATCCTCCATCACCATCCTAACTGATTGGGTTTTCTGCTGTAGCCAGGAGAACTTGACTACCAGATAGCAGAATAACTGTGGACCACAGAGGTTGGACGAAACCAGGGATGGTAAAGAGCTGTAAGCATTATCCTTTTCTGATTATTTCAGAGCTCAGATATCAGAGGGGAAGGACCTATGGGAACTGGTTATTTAAAGGGTTGCTTGTTCAGGGTACCTGGCTGCCTTCCCCCTTCCCCGTTCCCCACCCCTAACCTCATTGCTGATAAAATCGATCACCCTTCCCTGCTGCGCCCAGATGTGGCCTTAAGATTCTTCTGCACCTGGTTGCCGTATGACCCAGCAATCCCACTCCTGGGCATACATCCGGACGAAACTCTAATTCAAAAAGATACGTGCACCCCAGTGTTCATAGCAGCCCTATTTACAATAACCAAGACATGGAAACAACCTAAGTGTCCATCGACAGATGAATGGATAAAGAAGATGTGGTGTTTATATACAACAGAATAGTACTCAGCTATAAAAAAGAATGAAATAATGCCATTTGCAGCAACACGGATGGACCTAGAGATTATCATACTCAGTGAAGTAAGTCAGAAAGAGAAAGACAAATATCGTATGATATTGCTTATATGTGGAATCTAAAATATGACACAAATGAACCTATCTATGAAACAGAAACAGACTCACAGACATAGAGAACTGACTTGTGGTTGCCAAGCGGGGGTGGTGGTGGAGGGATGGATTGGGAGTTTGGGGTTAGCAGATGCAAACTAGTATATATAGGATGGATAAACAGCAAGGTCCTACTGTAGAGCACAGGGAACTGTATTCAGTATCCTGTGATAAACCATGAATGTGAAAAAGAATGTATATATGTGTATAACCAAATCACTTTGCTGTACAGCAGAAATTAACGCAACATTGTAAATGAACTATATTTCAATAAAATAAATGAAAAAAAAATAAGATTCTTCTCCACAGGAACCCCAGGCAACTTCAGACAGTCAGGGTTAGCTCAGGGTTAGCTCGGAGTGTTTGCCACTAATTTCCTGGCTTCGTCCAATGTCTGTTGTCTAGGATTATTCTGCTAGTCGGTGGGAAAGTCAGAACTACACTCTAGGGACACTGAATTTTGCTTTGTGTATGTTACTGACTATGATATTTCTGTGACCATCTCTGTGTGAGCATCTAATGTATTGTCCAACTCGGGACATGGTGTGAAGGAGATGCTGTCAGTAACTACGCAGGTCGACTGTTAGAAGCTGGACTGTCTCAGGCCAATGGAACAGATGGGCACACAGAAGTGAGCACAGAGATGGCGGGGAGGGTGTCCTGCAGTGGAGCCCTAAGCACACAGCTCATGACTGGCCATGTGCTGAGCTGGGTTTCAAGGACCCAAGGCCTGCTGGAAGTCTGAGTGGATTGGGGCCTTATTAGCATTTGACCTCACTCAGCTTTCAGCTGACACTTGTGGCTCACCCACATTTGTGTTTTTGGTGGCGATTCCAGGCTGGGAGGTGGGGCCTTCAGGAACAGGGGCACCTGACACCCTTAACATTTAGGTGCCAGTTCAGCCCCTCCGCAGCACCACCTCGTTTTGCTTTGTGACTATTTGTCCTCCCTGCAAGCAGGGCTCTCTCTGGACTGGGCCCTAAGGTTGTTGCTCACATGGTGCCATCCTGGGCATTCCTTGAGGAAGAGAGAGAAAGAACTTAGTCCTTCTTTTTACCTTTGGTGGCAAGTGACACTGGATTTAAAAACAAGCTCAAATCTTCTGGTTTTTTTTTTCTTCTCTCTTATTACAAAAGCAATGCCTATTCCCAGTAGAAAAATAAGACAGTAGAAAGAAAATGAAAAATAAGGGAAAGGCATTCCGCCATTTCCCCCCGTCATACTGTGATGTAGCATGTGGACAGTTGGGGTATGAGTCCCGTGAGAATGTTACAAAGGTTCTGGGGAAATATGGGACCAAGCACGCGGGCGGGCGGGGGCAGCACAGGCATCGGCATGGCTGTTCCCGGGTCCAGGGGAAGATACTTCTGCCCACAAGAGCTGTGCCATCCAGAACAGGAGGGTAGCCTGCTAGCAAGACCCTCACGCTGTTGCTCAGTATCCGTGAGGCTTCATCTCTCTGAGGCTCAGCTTATTCGTCTGGAAAATGGGAGCAATGCTAGTTCCCACCACCATAGGAGCAGATGTCCGTCTGCATGCCTGGTGAGAGTTAAATGACATCATAATGCACGTGACCTGCCTGTTACAGTTGTCATTACAGGTCACGCGATGTGATGGACGCCAGCTTAGTTTTCTCGGGAAGTGGCTGCATACCCCTGGTGGAGTGGGAGTGCATGGAGGAACAGCTTTTTTTTTTTTTTTTTGCAGTACGCGGGCCTCTCACCGCTGCGGTCTCCCCCGTCGCGGAGCACAGGCCCCGGACGCGCAGGCCCAGCGGCCATGGCCCACGGGTCCAGCCGCTCCGCGACATGTGGGATCCTCCCAGACCGGGGCACGACCCCACGTCCCCTGCATCGGCAGGTGGACTCTCAACCACTGCGCCACCAGGGAAGCCCATGGAACAGCTTTTTAATAGCTGTGAATTTATTTTTATGACTACCTTTTCTCTATAGCAGGTGACATTAAAAAAAAAGTTTCTTTTTAAATGCATGTCAATAAACATGAATCAATTTGAAAAAAATACGGGGTGAGAAATAGTAGATTTTGGATGTAGCAGAAGTCACAGGCACAGGATGCAAATACAGTGAATCGGGGGGTCCCTGCGCTAGCTCACAGGAGCCTCGGAACAGCCTTTTGGATTTTGTTTATTTTACCCTCAGATAACCCGGTCCGATCGCCCCTCTGTCAGGGGGGAACTCACCCTTGCTGAGGCTAAACGACTTCAGAGACCCGCAGCCCACCCGCGGTAGGTGTGGGCAAGAGCCAGGTGCTCTGTATCCAAGGCTCATTCTTTCCCTCCCAAGGACAGTCAGGGAACCACTGTCTCTCGGGAGACAGACACAGAGCCGGAGTCTCTGGGTGAAGGTGGCCACTTCCCATTAGATGTTGGTGCCCTGTCCAAACCCCCAGGCCGCCCTCAATGTCACGTAGAGATGCTGAGCCTGCTGGCAGCTTCCTGCATCTGTCTGGCTTGGGAACGTCTGCAGTCGCAGGGGGCACAGTCCAGAAGTGTGGGCATTAGCACCCCAGGGGCGACCCTCAGCCACCGGAGGACAGGAGGGGGTGGCTGAGTCCCTGGCTGGCCCACCCCTCGTCCCAACAGTTCAGAGGTGAGTTTCCCAGTCTCCTGGGGGGTCCCCAGCAGGACTGAGCCCATTGCCCACAGTGGGAACCCACTCATTCCACACCTTTATTGGCTTTGTTCTTTCCCCTGTGTCACTACCCCACCCCTTCCAGTGCCCCTGGGATTACCTCTCAAATAAGGGGCCCTGTCCCGGTCCTTGCCTCGGGGTCTGCTTCTGAAAACTCAAATTAAGACAGCCCCTCAAGGGTCAGCCAGCTGGACCTCCAGGTTCTCTGTCCACTGAGATGGTCACTGGAGTAGAGGGAGGTGAAATGGTACAGTAGAGTTCACATCTTGTTGGCTGTCAGTCACAGCACTGATTTTAGTTGACAAAGCTTTGAATATCTACAGACATCACATCAACTGGATTTTGACTATCAACGCAGCCTAATGTCCATTTCCTTTGGTCCCTTTGGAAGGGATTGATCCCTGGGTGTGGCCGTGTGAAATGGGGTACACTAGGAATCTCTGACCCAGTCTTTGAGTCTGGCTTGGAAAATATCACAATGTATGGACAGGACTGCTTGCCACCATGTTCATAAAGCTGCCATCTATGTACACTGCCCAGGTAAGTAAACCTCCAGAACAGAGTGCCTGTATTTTTAACAGCCACACAAGTTAAGGCAAGCCACTCCTTGCTATGCACTTTGAAATGAAATAAATTCCTCAACATACTACTTACATACTCGGGCCAAAGTTATTCAGATTTTCAACCTTTGGATGTGGTAAGCATTCCTGGTGACTTTTATTTTATCTTTGTCCATTGACATTTTTTTTGTTTTTTATTCTTAATTTTGTATTGAAGTGTAGTTGATTCCCACTATTAT